ACAGGGTATTCAATGAACGTAGCAAGTTCGACGGAGTTTTCTAAAGCCGGCTACAAACCGGGACGCAATCGCCGGAAACAATATATTCCAACAGTCGATCGGCTATTGTCAAGCTGTATGCTGGCGATCAGGTAATGTTACTGAACGATTGAAAACACTCGGATATGATTGTAAGCGATTGTCCAATAGTCCGTTGATTCTCGAGTCTGTCTTTTAAAAAGTAAGCGATAGCAACTGTGCGGCTCGGTCGAAATATGTTTCCAACGATTGTATTCGAGTTTGTACTTAAGATGAATCTTGAAAGAAAATAGGTTTTTTAATACTAGCAGACTTTTGTATGACAATTCCAGCATTCAACAATTCTTTATCTCCGAGTTTAGTTGATATATGTTTCTATTTAATTCAGCACTTAATCAGTTTTACCGAAAATGCTCGTACAAAATTCGCAAATGAAAATGGAAAGCAGATACCCGACGAGCACCAGTAATAATGATAACAATAACAATAGTGCTATTCGAGCTTCGTCGAGGATCAACAAAGCAAAAGTCAGCGATAAGTTTCGGCCACGGTTTTCCGCTCGGCCGGCGAGAGTGCTAACGCGCGAATTTGCAAATTATTTCGTAACTTTCCGTCGACGATGCCCGAAAGCGTAACGCAGCCCCGCTTTAATTACGCCCGCTGAAATATCGCGTCCCGAGTTTTGCTCGCGCGGCCAAATGCCACGCTTCCTCTCCGTTTATGTAACGAGCGTATTCAGTTTCACCGATTACGAAATAATGACCGATTGTATTACACTCTGTGACATCGTTACATCAACGCATTATGCTTCTCAAATTTTTTAAAGTGATCATACTGATCGTTTGAAAACGCAATTTAAGTAAAATTACGTGAAAAGGGAAACTCTATAAGATAACATAGTATCATTTATAATAAATGCCACACAAATGTTAAAATTGCAGTTTTTAGTAGTCTGCCCTTTGCCTAAGTCCGCAGTAATTAACGTTGAAATCAGCTGTACGTTCATAAAAACTGAATGGCGAGAAACAAAAATGGATTCCACGAGCGATTTGCATGGAACTGAGTAAACGAGATAGCTTTCGTCGAGTCAGAAAAAAAATCTTTATGCACTGACCGGCATTCAGTGGAGAATGTAGGCACATAACGTTGAACCCGTGGTTACGGGAGTCGTGGCGGCCGACAAATCGCCGCAAATAATTTGCGGATACCATCTAAAGCCAAATTGCAGAGAAAAGTACTGGTCCCTTATCATAGGCGCTAGCAGGACTCTCGTGAGAGGCATTACCCACCTACCCACTGCTCGTATCACTTGTACATACAGTACACATACGCGTAGATCTACGTGCAAACTCGAGAACGCAAACTGCAGCTTTTTTTCTCTTCTGATAGCGAGACCGCGAGTAAGTGCGCTAGCCATGCGCTAAATGTTTCAGCATAAGCAGATGTGCTGCTAGGATAAAATTGGAGTATCCATAAAGGCTCTGTGTACATTTTTTCGCGCAAAATTGTCCGTACGAGGAGTGCGCGGACCTTTTTTTTATAATGTTTCAGTTTAACGCACGTTTCTTGGTGTGACGAACAGAATTTGAATTAACACTAGAAATACTGAAACTTAGTATATACCTATATTGC